AATGGCTCATGACAGATGTGAGAAAGTTAAGGCTGCGGTAGTTTCAATCCAACATGAGTTAACATGTACATGTAGAGCATGCATGGCTGCTGCTTGTGTAAATGTTTACTCCTGCTGTTTAGTCATCTTTTCTCATGTCACTGAGCATCAAGTAAAAAAATGTACATGGGTGAATTTGTACATAATGTAAATATTTTGTGTGTAGTCTATGCTGCATCTTATTTTAAAACAGTGGTTTCACAATTACTGTCACTTATGTCACTTTGCAAGGGATCCACCGGTCAGTATGCTTGGCTATTTTTGAACTCACAAAATGAAGTGTTTAATTGTTTCACTGGAGTAAAATGTAAATCCAGCTTAATTCAATCATGTAATAATCAGAGAAAATCTAATAAAAATGGAGACATTGTTATATGGTCTGCTGGCTCTGATTGGTTGCGTAAACTTGTGGGAGAAGGAGGCAAGTCAGATCCTGGCCAGTAGGACAATGAAGAGAGCCAGCATCAGCCGGACTTTCCCCCAACACCTCTCCAGCTCGGCCCAGAGGGAGCCATGGTCGGAGGGGAGGGGACCATAAACTGGATGACAGAGTTGTTAAATGGAGGACCAACACCCAGTACAGTGTGTTTTAAAGCTCTTTCTCCATATGGAGCTTTGGGATTCTTCACCCTAGTCTTCTATTTTATGTCTACACATGCCCTGATTTAAGATGCTGTTGAGATCTGAAGAAAGTAAATGACCCTTTAAACTGCCGTAGTGTTTCCAGCACTGGAGTACTTGTGTTTCATGAAATCGCATAAAAACAGGAAGGTGACATACTGTAATGGAAAGTCTGTCTGATTGGCTCTGCCGGTGCTGATATTTGTGGATGCACTATAAAATCACTGAGGTTTAGCCCATGTGAACAGTGGACACTGTGTGTTTTATAAAGCTCAGCAAGGAATGCAGAACATAGCCCCTTATCTGAACCAACCGAGTCTGAAGTAAGAAGTGAATAAACAGCAGTTTAAATATCCTTTGCTATAGCTGTAAAGTCAAATCGACTTAAAGATGATGTCATAGCTTATTTAGTGGCACTTTTCAACATTTAGTGCAAAAACGTCAACACTAAATAAAGTGCCCACAACAGCAGAAATTAAAGTACAGTTAAAATGAATTTGGAGAAAAACAGCAAATTTCAAAAATGTACTTGCAAGGCTAATATTAAAAATAGTTCCGGGTTGCTGAAGAAAAGACATATTGAATTAAAGAAATATGACAGAGATCCAGATCATCCTCACTCAAAGATCTTTAAGCCTCTGAGACTATCCTTCTGCTCCCTGCAGTGAGTGAGTCAGTATTACTCATTATGTTGGAAGAGAGAAAAGATTTAGTAGAAGAAGGTCTAGAAGGTTAAAGTTTAAAGCTGGCCCGTGGGAAGTGACCGTTTGTCATCCCCCACTTCCTGGCCGGCTTTGCGGAGTGCTTCACTCACCCACAGTGGGTATGCCGTGCCTCCCAAACAATGATGGTATTGTATGGACATATAGTCTCTGTTGGGATGGTGCCAGGTCTATGTTGGCAAGGATGCAGCCTCAGTGTGTGATCAGCATCTAAAGCCTCTGTTTTCCGATCTGGGGTTCACTGGCAAATTGACTGTTTCCACCAATGGGCCACATCCTAAGATGAATGGAGACTATGTTTATATTTTTCTGTATGTTGAAATGTATTAAAACTAATGTAAGGATTTAAATGCTTGAAAACGCACCTTGTTTTATCAGCAACTTCCTCCAGTGTCAGCAGACATGGACAGGCCTTGGAAGCGATGAGGGGGTAGAGAACAGCGGAGCCCCCAGCCCCATCCTATGTGGTCACGGCTGAGTGCAGACCAGCCCAGACCTCCTGGGGACACATATGACTGCAGGAACTGATCTTCTCATCAGCAGAGTGAGACGTGGTTAGCACAGCTCAGACAGAAGGGAAGAATGGAAAATTAGCAGATGAATCACCGTTTCTGTGCTTCTGGTTAAAATGAGTCGTCATGTTCAGGTTTTATCACTACGTGATGGATGCAGAAAAGGGACATTATCATGGTGGAAGTTGATTATATAATTAATGACAACACTGTGAAATCACCACTTCGAAACAAAGTTGGTTTGTTTGCTATTTGTACAACTTTGTTGAATACAGACTCAGTCTGCTGAGCTGAGGGCAGATTTTGCAATTGTGGTTCTGCTAGATGGAAAAAACATTTTAAAGCTGAACACTCTGGCCCAAAGAGGTGGGGGGGGGGGGAAGGAGAGAGACAGGAGCTGTTTCCCTTCCCTGGAATAACTTTTCCATGTGAGAAAGCCATACCCACATTCTGACATAGCTGAAGAAATCCCTGAGTGGGAAGACTGCAATGATGTTTAAAGAGTGGAGTCATTTTTTTAGTCTTCAGCACAGGCATCTGAAGGTCTTTAACCAGAGAGGTTCTGCATCCTCCCTGATCCTCCTCCCAACATGTGAGCGTGTGTGCATGGCCACCTTTAGGTCAAGAGGTCAGCACCGGGCACTGGAATGTTTATGTTCACTGCTCCTGTTACTACCATTCTCTGTAGTGCTGCATCTTGTTCTCCTGGAGGAATACATCAGGCCATCTTTGATGACACAATGAAAGAGGTTTCCCAATGGTAACATTTATGTTTTTTTGACTGTCTTATACTTTATTTGGCTCACTGGTCTGAAGGAAGATGTGAAGCATTAAAACAAGGCAAAGATAATTTACTCTGGTAATAAGTGCTGAGATATAATCAATAAAAAGCCAAGGAGAAATGTCATTACAGGATACTTATCAAGTATACAGTAATAATGACCATTAATTCTTTTGAAACACAGTCAGACCTCATCTTGTCAGTAATTTGCAAAACACAAGAAAAGATTATTTAGAATTTTGAATAAAAATAAACAAGGTATGAAGTGAAATTTAACAGTGAGGAATATCCTTTATGGATGGACTTCCTCACTGGGGCACAGGCTGCCCTCCCAGGCACTGTGCATACATTTGGTCAGTGATGTAGATGTAGATCATAAGAACCAATGAGTGAATGGCATCCAGTTCTTAGGACTTCCAACCACAAACATGGGGCTTTGGACCGCATGCATGTCTCTCTCTCTCTCTCTCACACACACACACACACACACAGTGCAGAATTGCAAAAGCTAGTGTTTGTTTATCTCCCATGTAAAAAAAAAAAAAAAGAACTTGCAAAATACTGCTGCAAATACATTCAAGAAAAATGCTGGAACTGCTTGGGGAGTGGTCAGGATTTTTTGGGGTGGGGGCTGAGCCATGCGAGGGGCAGTATATGAACAATTTTCTAGTCTGTTTTTCTCCCCCATCCCCCACATTTTTCTTGCCCCAACTTCATCCACCATCCACCTTTCCTTCCCTGGTCCCCTCCACCAGCAGGTTGTTTAATGCTTTCCAGATTTCAGCGTGCCATAGGCCTCCTGGCAGAACTGCAAGTCTGGAATTTGGCGGAAAAGGATGTGGGCTCCAGGCAGGGGCTCCTAATATAATAAATCTAAAGACAATGAGCGCCTCCCATTGGCACGAGTAAGAAAATACTATTTTCAAACAGAGTAGGAAAGGGAATAACAGGCTCTGAAGCAGACGAGAAACTACATCCAGCGTGTTTGAGAGGGAGACACAGCTGCAATGCAGGCTAAAATTACAATGATTTTTTTATGCAGGAGGGAGGTGAGCCGAGTCCCCTTAAAGTGCAAATGTAGAGGACACATTGTGCTCACATCCTGCCTCCTACTATGAATGACCCAGCATATTCTCATTCGACAGTGGGTGCAACACAAAGATGAATGAATTAAAAAATATGTGTTTTGGCATGAAAAATGGCACATTGATACCTAGAAGAGCAATTTACAATCCCCATAGTCAAATTATCCATTACACTGACACACCCTTTAACAGATGTGGGATTTTACACAACCACTAGATGGCAGTACACAACCACTAGATGGCAGTGCATAACAAATCTTTACACCGATAACTGCTCTGTCCAACAGCACAGGTAGTCAAGAGCCGGACTTTTTGCCACAAAAGAAAACGTGGTGAATATTGAAGATTTAGTTTTTCCCCATTCAAGGAAACAAAACAAAAAAAAAAAGTAACAATCTCTAAGAAAAATACTGACTATACAGACAAAGATCAATAGCACTGATGGTTTGTATTAACCCCAACAATCAATATGCAGTAAATGGCCACATGTAAGAATGACTTTCTAGTCCTGTGGCAGACTGGACACTGACTGTGAATAACTGACAGTGGAAGCAGATTCAACATCTCCTAAAGTGGAGAAGAAAGATGCTAAAAAAAAAAGGAATGGAGCAGCCTTTTCAGCATGCAGCATTAACGTTGAGGGATGCAGCATTAGATCTTGAACTGTCTCTCTGTTAACAAAACAGAGCGCAGTGAACTTTGACCGAGCTGTGATGGGTTTACAAGTGTGCGAAAAACCAAATCAGGGTCTGTTAAATCAAAAGTGACAGAGCAGTTTTGAGTCCGTGATGAGGAGTAGTAGGATGGCAGTTTACAGAGACATTCATCTCCAATCAGCACGTTGTGAAGGTTTAACTTATCACTGGTTCTCAACTCAGTTCCAAGATGACAGACCTTTCCTCCTACATCTAACTTCCACTCCTCCATCTGTCCTGATGAGAATATAGCTACTCCTCAAAAAAGAACTTTTAAAATAAGTCTTACTATTATACTTCACTCACTCTCAGCTTGTATAGCCACTACTTCCACATTCACATCCAACTAAAGCCTGAATTGCTTCCTTCCTTCCTTCCTCTCCTGGGAGAGTCAAACAATAAGGGGAGGAAACAAGAGGCACTCAAAGAATTATTTAGTTTTTTCAGCTGATTGAGCAGCACTTGTAATGAATTATACAAAAATACAATAAAACATGCGGCGACACACATGTTCAACTTTCTTTATTGAAAAATATAGGTTACTTTGGATAATACAGAAAAAAGCTGTAAATATACATTAGAGAAGACAGTAAAGCATAATATACAGCATAACACAAACAAGGCAACACAGAGAAAATGAAGCAGTGAAATGATCTGAATACATTTTGTAGTGTGAGTGAATGCAACTATAAATATCCAGTTTTGCTAATTCATATCCATCATAATTTAAATTCAACAGTGATTACCCACATAAAGAAGGGAGTGACAAGTTTGACAGACTCTCCCAATAATGAGCTTCACAACTAAAACCTTTGCCTAGAAAATTATGATTTGGCACATCTGTCTGTTTCAGTTAAGGCAGTAAAATCAATCAGCGCAACTGAGCCTCAGCACTTCCTGGCAACACTTTTTAATGATGCAAGAGATACAGTCAAGCTGCAATGACTACACAACTTGCATTAAAAAAAAAAAAAACGTAATCTCCTCTTAATGCTCTTGCATCTATTACTAGCTGTGTCTTATTTTTCGGTCAGTCTTTAAAGGGGTGTAACACAATATATAGCACATATTTTTAGAAAGACAAAAATCAACCACAGGTATTAAACACTAAATACAAGTAGTGTGTGGTTTAATTGTGCCTGTTTTTCAACAATAGCCCTCTTCATAAGTAGTGATGGAAACTGGTTTATACATTAAAAGGCAACCCCTGGACTAACAAGGATCAACATCTTGTACACAGTTCAGTTGCACCACTGCAGCTGCTCAGATGAGAAACAAGGAAGGAAGTGGTTATCAAACTCTTTTCAGTTTCAACTTGAAGTGACAGCAGAAGAATGCCAGTCGATGTCAGTTTATGGAAACCTGTCAAATCACCATCATTATGGCTTTAGGGAGAGTTAAAGAATCTGTTTATACACAAAGAGACAACAAGCACAGTGTACATTCCCTCTCCAGTGTGCCACAAACATTCACACCTCTAGTTTCCTGTAGTAACACCATGCTTTGCAGCCCTTGTGTCTTTCATTTACACTGAGTTTACACCTGCTTCACACTTGCACTGAATCAATAACTGAAAGTTTTGGTTTGAGCTTTGTGGTCCAGGGCCACCTTTGACCAGCGGCACAGGGACCCCGAGTTACATAAGGGGGAAACTAACAAATCTATGGCACTTTACTATAATATTTTCAGATGAACAAGGCTCAAAGCAGGGCTTCACACTCGAGCGACAAACACAGCCCCCTTTTATCGTGACAAGACACCCACCAGTGGTCCTGTGGCGACAGAGGCCTTCTGTTCAGCTCAGGCCTTATGAAGTCCCACAGCCAAAAGACAGAACAGCAGGAAGAAATAGGTTCATAAAATGTAAAAGCCACATGTGACATGTCAAGTGCAATAGGAGAAAAAGAAAGTTATAGAAGGTGTTATTCCAACAAAAGTTCCTTTCTAACCCATTCTGTCTGCCACTTGTGGAATGTTCCATATTCAAAAGTGGCTGCTTTTCCTTGTCAGTTTCCTCACAGCTCAAAGGGAAGAGAGACTGACAAACAGAAAGTGGAGGGGACAGTTCCCTGACAGAGTTTGGGCTTGTCCTAAAGGAGCAGTCACACTCTTTGCAAACCTACAGAGTCCTCTAACTTCCGCACAGTCCCATTACCCAACTACAGTCTTCAAGTGCAAATCGACTCTGTCACTAGTTTCACATAAACCCTTTCCAGAGCTCTGTCATACTTTTTAGAAAGCTTTGCAATTTCATACATGGATTTCATCATCTTCATCCTCCAAGAAAGAGGAGAAATTGCTCTCCTCCCCAGGTGGGGCACTGAAAGTGGCACTATCAGTTTCTCCTGCATACATGTGACTATTTGGTTTCTCATCCAGGGCAGCAGAGCCAGAGCTGGACACGGAGCAGCTGTCTAGATGCTGCAAGTGTTTTGGCCGTGTCTCAGGAGTATACACTGGGGTGTAGGGCCCTCCATTCTCAGGCCCCAGATCAATAGAGTGCGCTGGATGCTTAAAGGGCTGTTGCTGCAATTCTGTTGCTTCTTCCTCCATCTCCATTTGCTCCTCATCTTTTTCCTTCTTTGTGCTATCCTCATCTTCACCATGGGTGCTGAGATGTGGCGAGGCATGGCCCTCGCTACTCTTGCCCTCCTCGTAGCCAAGATCGTCATCTTCCTTTTCCATCACCCCCAGGATGTCACCCAGCATGGAAGGTCCCAGGTCAACATGGAAAGACATTACTGACACAGCATGCTTCATTCCACCTCCATAGAGAAGGGAGCTCTCTGGAAGCTCAGTCAGCTCCCCAAAACTACGTTCTTCCAGCTCAATGGAGTGAGTGCCTGCAGCTGCACCTCTCCCATCCACATCTCCATGCTCCTTTAAAGGGCTTGAGGACAGACTCTTTGCTACCATACTGTCCCCTCTGTCCTCATTATTGAGAAAAGGCAGAGACATGGCATTCTTCACGTAGGTAGGTGACCCACCTTGGACTGCCAGGGTCTGCTGGTCTACTCTGGTCACAGACTGCGAACGTCTGCTGCTCCTGAAGGTGCGGGACAGGAGACCAGGCCGGGGAGAGCGGGGGAAGGATGTGGTCTCAGGGGAACATTCCCCCGAGTGGGAGCTAAGAAAGGAGGTGTCTCCAAAGGCATCACCACTGCGGCCTACATGCATAGTGTGGCGGAAGTCGCCCAGTGGAGCACTGATCATCTCCCTGGTCAGGTCCATGCGTGTGCGGCGCTTGGTCTGTGAGGACCCATACACTAGCTGTTTCAAGATTGGCATGATAGCCAAGTAGGTGGTTTGTATTCAGAAAGAGGTAGTCAAATTAAAGAGTTTCCAAATCTTTAATCCTTGTTGGAAGCCTTGGAATGAATACTGAAGCTCCTCAACTGCAGTCAGCCTCAAAACCTGAAAAACAAAAATAAAATACAACAAATTACAAATAACCTAAAGAGGAAAAAACACTTGTATATTGTTTACTAAACTCAACTCTATGCAAATATACAACTTAAGACCATGTATGAATCCAATGACTAACACATAAAACACACCACTCCTATGTTAAATTTACTGATGGCAAAATTAAAAGGGGCTCAAACCAACTGCAAAGTAAAGCAACAAATAACAGATGTCCTTTTACTACACAACTCTGCATTTGGCCGTTTAATCCCATGAAGGAATTTCTTCCACTAATTATAAGAGCTGAACATATAAATCCTGCAGCTCCATAATGATAAGCAGGATGCGTCAAACATGTCTGAGATAAACTCTTAAAAAAGCATATAATTGAGAGCAAAACATCAACCACAGACCAAAATAAATCAGAGAGGGATAATTGAGAGGTGCCTGGTATTTTCTGGAGAGAAGCTCAACTTTGTGCAGTATAGAGCATATGACCAAAAACCTATCTTCTAGGGACAGAAAAAGTCATGTATACAACCATTCCTGGGCTCCACTATCTCCCAGGACCTGAGGTGGACATCCAACATCAGGACCATCATCAAGAAGGCACAGCAGAGGATGTACTTCCTGCATCAGCTCAGGAAGTTCAACCTGTCTCAGGAGCTGCTGATACAGTTCTACAGAGGAATCATGGAGTCTGTTCTCTGCTCATCCATCACTGTCTGGTTTGGCTCAGCAACCAAACAGGACAGGAACAAGCCCCAGCGGATACTTGGGACTGCAGAGAAGATCAGTGCCATGGAGGACCTGTACACCTCATGGGTGAGAAAGAGGGTAGAGAAGATTTCTGCAACCCCTCACACCCCGGACACAAACTGTTTGAACTACTCCCCTTTGACGGTGTTACAGGTCACTGTGCACTAAGACAACCAGGCACAGAGACAGTTTCTTCCCCTAGGACATCACTCTGATGAACACCCATGACTGTATAACAATTCTGTCTCATCTATTTACTCATCGCCTTAGAGAAGAGCACTGCACACACACATTGACAGCCACTGTACCTGAGTCAAAGTGCTCATGTGTTCAACACACCTGGCCAATAAAGCTCATTCTGAAAATAACCCTGTCAATTTGACACACTATTCAGCACTCACTCCATTATTTGACAAATGTGCAATTTTGATTGAAGAAATTACAGAAAATGTCTCCTAGTAACATGCTTCTTAAACAACAGTGTTCATGTCCCTAGAGCTTTATGACTGACAGCTGAGCGGAAGGGTTTTTCTTGCATTATTCAAACACGTAGCTCAGACAGAGGAAACTTCACTGCAGGCTGCCAGCTAGAAACTGCTGCTTACTTAAGTGCTGCACTGGAGGACAGGAGCAGGGCATCTCTAGTGCTACAAGACATGGTACAAAAAAAAAAAAAAAAAAAAAGAGACCACTGCCATGGTGGTGTGCAAAACAGAGTGCAAGCGGTTTCTGCAGACATATCAAAAACATATGATCCTTTGACTAGCAGGTGAAAAATCTCTGTGGCTGCATGTAAGCAGGCCTAAGGAGAAAGTATTTACCGTGCTGCCTTAAGTGTGCTCATCTGTGGGTTTCACATAGTGCCTCTTTCTTTGTTGACTGATGCTAACATGGGAAGATAATCAAAACAGTTAGTGATTTAGCCTTCACTTTGGATTTCTTACAAGACAAGCTTTTAAAAGATAGAGATGTTTCTGCCTTTGGGGGATTTCAAATCAGGCCTTTAAATGCAATTGCCCTTGTTCTTCTGTCTCCACCTCCCATCTTTGCCAGCTGAGCCACTACTCCTCTTCCTGTTAATGCCCTCACCTGCTTTGGTTTCCATAGAAACACCCTCCCGCAAGCATGCAAGAGTGTTTCCTGTCTGAGGCTGCAGAAGACTTCAGGTTTCATAAAACTGTGCCACATATGGCCTCTTTCTGTGTCAACCTATGGTTCAGACAATGCACCATTTTAATGTGTCTGGTTTCACTCTCTCATTTCATCCATGCTGTGTACTACAGTGGGTACGGAAAGTATTCAGACCCCCTTAAATTTTTCACTCTTTGTTATATTGCAGCCATATGCTAAAATCATTTAAGTTCATTTTTTTCCTCATTAATGTACACACAGCACCCCATATTGACAGAAAAACACTGACATTTTTGCAGATTAAAAAAGAAAAACTGAAATATCACATGGTCATAAGTATTCAGACCCTTTGCTCAGTATTTAGTAGAAGCACCCTTTTGAGCTAATACAGCCATGAGTCTTTTTGGGAATGATGCAACAAGTTTTTCACACCTGCATTTGGGGATCCTCTGCCATTCCTCCTTGCAGATCCTCTCCAGTGCTGTCAGGTTGGATGGTAAACGTTGGTGGACAGCCATTTTCAGGTCTCTCCAGAGATGCTCAATGGG